AAATAATTTAAAGTTATTCTTTACTAGGAATGCCTCTAATATTTGACTATTAAATGTGAGGAAGGGCTGAATAGATTGTATATTTGGTTAGTTTGCATTTTAGATATAGTTTTGGGGGCACTCTTTCTAGAACTCTCCGTTTGTATTGTGTGTCTCCCAAATCCCTTTCTCAAGTGTGAACAAGTGTTACCCCTTTTCTATGCAAGAATATTTTCTCCCTCTAGAGACATTCCCTGTATATATGTGTTGATTCTTTTCTTCAGTTCTAGTCACTCATTGTTTACCAAGTGTAGAATTTTCCTTTAATCCTCAGACCAACACATTAAAAATCACTGTTGCCCTCCTTTTACTTAGTAAATCATATGGAACTACCCAGCCATTTCTTGCCAACTTAAAAGTGTCTTGCATAGATTATTTTTACTTTGGTGTGTTGAGAAAATGCTAAACTATTTTCTCACACAAAAATTATCATTTCATTTGAATTTGCTGACTTTTTGCCAGTGACAAGTAAAAATAACTTGGGATTTTTGCATTTTTCATGCAAAAAATGATTGGTTCCATGGGTTGGACAGTTAAAACAATATGAGAAAAGAGTCAGAGGGCAAAAATGTACAGCAAAAAGTTAGTGCTGGGAAGGCGGAGTGGCCAGTGCCTTTGGAGGCTTGATTAGGTCATTGTGTCACCCTGACTCTCTGCACCTTCACTAGAAAAGTGTGAGCTAATGCAAGTTTAGTCTGACACTTGTCACATACTGGGCATTTACTCTTGGGTCCTATAGGTTCAAAGTCAGGCATATTGGCCACATTTTCCCTGTCAAGTGCAAAGCAAAGCCCCTTTTATCATCATGACTTTCTAACCTAACCCTAGGCAAACTCAAGGATCTTACGAGTTATCCAACAGAAAATGCTGCCCTGGGGGTGGGGTTAGAGGGTCCCCAACATCTGCTCATTGGGTACTCTTAGATTTCTTTTTTTTCCTCCACCTGGCCTTGTCCTTAGCTGCCCACTTTCCCTGGACCTCATCCTGTTCCATTCCAGCAGGGCTGGTGCTGGGCTGCTGTGGTTCTGTCTTCCTCCCAGGGAGACATGCTGTTAATGCACTAGATTAAATCTAGTAGGCAGGTCTCTGGCCTTTAAGAGCCTCACCAGCATGCCTTAGATTTTCCAATTTATTAGCCTGGAGAGTACCCCAGTTAGCATCAAACTTAGGTCTTGAGGCACAATTTGAACTTTCTTCTGTCATTCCCAATGCAAAAACTGAGATGTATATGTGTGTGTGTGTGTGTGTGTGTGTGTGTGTGTGTGTGTGTGTGTGTGTGTGTGTGTGTGTGTGTGTGTGTGTGTGTGTGTGTGTGTGTGTGTGTGTGTGTGTGTGTGCGCGTGTGCGTGCATTTATTTATTTATTTAAACCATGGTGAGATGGATCAGTATTATCATTGTTTAAAATCAATTATCTTTTATTCTGTATTTTTTCTATTGTTTATTTTATCTGTCCTGCTTTCCCACAGGGACAGAATTAAGGCCCCTATTTGGTTTTTATTAGTGTAATCAGTTAATAGCTGTCCCATAATGCTTTACTTATTGTGTTAATTTTCCGTAGTTATGTCCAGAGGCAGCTTCCGGGAAGACCACATTTAAAAAGAAGAAGAAGAAAAAAAAAGATCTATCTTACTTCTTTTTCATGGGTCCAGTTACCATTTATAGTTTCAGCCAAGATTTTTGAACACGACTGGTCTACGAGGTCATGCGAAATATATATACACTCTTGTTAGTCTGTAAAAGTATATGTGTGACGGGCCTCAACACTCCACTAGCACGATGGTGTGCAGATGCTGACACTGGTGCTTCTGTGGACCTCAGCTTGTCACACCAAGTCTTTGGATTTGCCCTAATACATTAGGTCAGAGCGTGCTACTGCCATGCATCCCATACCAGGCCCTGTAGTGCTGCAAACATCTCTAAAGTCTGGGAATCAGGGGACATTGTCCCTTGCTGTTGGAGATTTTAATGGGATTATGTCCTGTGTGCACTGGTATTCAAAGGAGTAGTTCTCACCTTAAAACAGAACTTCAAGGCACATTGCCACCCCCACTAAGGTTGCATGCTGAATTAGACAAACATACTGAAAGGAAAAAAAAAACTGGGCTCAACAGTCCACATCATGAGTTCTAGACCCTCCTCTAATTTGAACTGGCTATAGGCCTCCCCGGGCTTCATTTTCTTCATTTGGAAAAGTAAGAGTCGAGAGGAAAGCTGTGGGGTTCCTTGCAGCCTTTGTTTTCTAGGAGATGGTGAGTCCACGGTTGCTCTGTCCAGAGGTTCTGAGGAGAGGTCACTAGCTGGTGATTGGTTCTGGGTTAGGATCCTTCTCTTTCATTGCTGAATCTGCAGATGGGCATCACACTTGATGCCAGATAGGGGCTTATCAGTATTTCTTCCTCTTTTTCCCCTATTGAAGATTGAACCCAGGGCCTCTGGGGTGCTGAACAAGCACTTTACCATGCAGCGACAGCCTCAGCACTCTCGGTGTTTTTATATAGTTTGAGTATCCCTTATCTCTGTTGTGTTTTGATACAGGGTCTCAAAGATGAACCTGAACTCACTATGAAGTCCTAGCTGGCCTTGAACTCATGGCAACCTTCCTGCCTCAGCCTTCTGTGCGCTGGAGATTACAGGCATGTGCCACCACACCTGACAGAAAGTAACCCTTATCTTAACTGTATGGGATATCAAATGTATTGAGTTTCACAGATTTTTAGGCTTTTGGAATATTTGCATATATATAATGAGATATCCAAGGGATAGAACCCAAGTCTAAACACAAAATTCATTTGTTTTAATACATCTTCTACATATAGAATGTGGATTTTTTTTTTTTACAGTATTTTTCATGCACTTGTGTTTTGACAAGGTCTGGTGTGGAATGTTCTACCTATGGCTTTCATTAGTGCTGACCACATTTTTGATTTAGGACCAGTTGGGATTTCAGATTTTCTGATTGGGCATTCATGAACTGCAGTAAGTTTGTTTTGATGGTAAAATTTGGGTAGAATTCCACTTTGAGAACTGTTATTGAGGACAGCTATAGGAAGAGGAGACAGTGCTAGACCAGAGGTCCCCGGGGCCAGGTGTGGGTCCTGGGCAAGCCTTTGTCTCTTCCGTTGTTGCATGAAGGGTCTGGAGAAGATTGACCAAAGGAGCTTCTTACGAAGAAGTCAAGGACCTTGCAAGAATTGCCATCCACATGAAGCAATGGAAGGTTCAGGTGCTCTGCAGCCTCCAGGGCCCAAGCAAGTAGAGCCTATGGCCTATGAGTTAATACTTGCTGGGAATAAGTTCACAAGGTGGCTAAAGGGATGGGCTGCAAAGAGAGGAAGGACAAGGAAGCTGTGTGCTAAAGTTCGGCTTCAAATTATATGCAAAGAAGGAAATGAGGTCTCCTATAATTACCTGTTATTAAGGGACGGCGTGGATCGAATGCTGTGTTTAAATCACTTCAGTGCCAAGTTCTTAGCCCAGTGCTCCACCTGCTTGGCCTTTATCCATTTCCTGCCCACAGTACTGATGTTTGGGAACTTTCCTTACAGGCAGGGCTATCAGAGAAGGAAACGGAAAATGATAGCATATTTAAAGGAGAAGAGGAAGCATCCACCTGCATCAGTGGAAATATTTTGAAAGCATTTGCAGGAGTCTGAGAAAGAATGACAAAGTTTACAAAGGATGCACCTTAACTTTGGTCTTATTTTCTCCAGTAAAGCAATTTGGTACACCAGTGTTCCAGTGTTAAGCGATATATTCAAGAATTCAACTTGAATGCCTTCACTTGTGTTGCAGGGTTTCTTTTCTTCCAAAAAAAAAAAAAAGTTAATAGTAGTAAGGCGATTTTCTAGAGAGATGAATGCCTATTGCGATAGCTAGTCAGCTCTTATAGAAATGATAGAAACATAGAGTAGCTGAGATTAAGGGCTAGATTTAAATCATTGAAGGGCCCAGTTAGGACCATTGTCTAATGAAGAAATGTGTAAAATTGACCTGCTGGAACAAGACTTTATCAAGGTGAGGCTGGACCTCCTCCATCCAGCTGCTGCAGAGTGTTTCAATGGGAATGCATCCTTTATGGACTGTGATTATTCAAAGGACTCGTTCTCAAATTAAAATGGAGCTTCCAATCAGAGTAAAGGGATGAGCTACTTTACCTGAGGGGTAAATAATGTGATAGACTGATCTTCAATATTAGACTGGATTCATCCTTAGCTTTTAGAAATCTGAAATCCTGGGGCCTGGGGATTTAGCTCCATGGCGCTGCACTTGCCTTGCAAATGCAGGGTCCCGAGTTTGATCCGGGTACAACAACAACAACAAAATCTGAAGTCCTTCACAGACACAAATGTTAGACTGTCAGTTCCTTGAAGGTAGCTAATGAGTACTGCTCTTTCTCTTGCATCACCAGTGCCTAGCATAAGTTTCTTAGCATATAATTAAACATTCATAAAATAGGAACAAATACTTCTTTAGTTTTAAAAACTGTTGTAGAGCATGGTGCTGTGTAATGCACATCTAATAACTGCAAGGCTTGGCCACGCCTGCACCAAATAGGAAGCCCTGGATAGGCAGGCTGCAGGCTGAATTGTCCCAGTGCTTCCTCAGACATTGAAAATTAAGAAATTTCAACTGCGCACTAACAATATGAATTTTTGGATTCCTTTGACACGTCTGAAGACATGCACTGATTGGTTCCTCCATCATCATGGTGACAAATAGCTGGAGCCTAGGAGTAGCTGCCCCCATCAGATCCGGGTCCTTCACTATCTGCCACCATTATGAAATGTGTCTGGGCCGAGGCTTAGGAATTGAAAGCCGGTCCCCAGCTTGTGGTGCTAGTTGGAGGAGGCAGAAACTTTAAGAGGTTGCCCTGGAGAAGGAAGTTAGGTCATTCAGTGTGTGCCCTTGAAGGGGAATTTGGGAGCCTGGCTTCCTCTTATCTCTCTATTTTGCTTCCAGTAGCTACGAGGTGATCGGCTGTCTGCTGTCAAGCACTCCTGCAATGATGTACCGTGGTACCACAGAGTCAATCAAGAGGGCCGAGAGACTTTGGACTGAATCCTCTGAAATCGTGAGCCAAAATAGAGCTTTCTCCCTTAAAAGATGATTTTTCTATGTATTTGTCCTCGCAACAAAACATGCCTAACTCAGGCCTTTGGATAAGGTGACACTATTTGGTATGTGTTTCTATCACTGTTGGATTTGAAGGAGTTAAGAATCTGGTATGAACTTAATTGAAAGAGGAAGCATGAGACTCTGAAGTACTAGACTTGTAGTGATTCTAGGATGCACATTCTTAACTCTGTCTTCCTGGTTCCTGTGGGAACTGAGCAGAATTCAAGCACTAAATAACCCTAATGATATCGGGTAGGAGCTCATCAGGGAGCTGTTCAAGAGTTTGTCAGAGCATATTAAAATACAATACATTCACATAATCAAAAAAGGCACATCAGTCCATCTGTCTATACATTCCTTTCTGATATTAAATTTGTCTAGGGACTTTTCAAAATTACATCATCTACCCGTACTCCCTTCTTTAGTGGATAAAAATGTGGAAAGAATGGAGAGAAAATCAGAATAATGCACAGCAGTGGAAGTTCCGTAATTGAAATCATTATTGCTTAAGACACCATTGCTTTAATCAGCTCCATCATAAATCAATGCTTTTCACAAATGAAGGTTTAAAATAAAGTGCTGTTAAACAAATTGGGTCCCTTAAAAGCCATGATGCAATTGGGAGGCTACTGAAAATGGATAAAAAAGTGCTTTCTGAATGGATACACTGGTTCTAGCATTTTATCTTCCACTTAATTTTAAAAAATATATTACCTGATCCTTTCTTAGAAATTACATACTGGAGGTCTATAATGGCCAAGCCTTTATCCCCATTAAAAAAATTTACTCCAGGAACAGTTAATATTGGATGTTTAATTGGCCTTTCTTCTTGGAAAAAAAAAAGATATGTTTCTTTCCTTCCTTGCTTGATTGACTTTTCAAAAATTGCCTGGTGAGCCATAAAGAAGAAGAGGAACTGAGTCGCAAAAACTCAAGTGCATACGTGTGTATATGCGTGTGCACATGCACGTTTATATATAATATATACAGTATTGTTATCTGCAGTGTATACACACTCATGTACCAGGAGGTGCTGCTTCTCCCTAATAGCTCTGCAATGCAGGCTTTACCCGACTGTGTTTCATAGAGAGAGATTCAGTGCTCTCCTGCATGGAGCCACACAGGTGCTAAGTGAAGGGAGTCTGTCTCTTCTGCCATGTTGGCTGGCTTTAAATTTGCTTCAGACCCAGGGGTGGAGATATCCGTGGAGCCAGGAATCAATGGTCCCCAGCTTGGTGCAACCGAGGCCTCTCAGCTTGTTTAGCTGGTCCTGGCTTCTGGGGTAGACTGAAAATATTGTACCATCTGCCAAATCAAAGGAGCCTAGCTATAGTTTGAGTCTTTTCAGTGAGTCCTCCATTGTAATGCAGTTAGGGAAGCAGCTGACCTACCTCATCTGTCACATCAACTTAGATTTCTCATCACATTTTTTGCTTGGATGAGCAGAGAGGCCAGATATCTTCTTAAAAAAGCAATGCCTGGGGGGCTGGGGATGTAGCTCAGTGGCACCACGCCTGCCTGGTAAGCACAAGGTCCGGAAGGATCACCGCAATAAATAAATAAAAAAATAAATAAATAAATAAGAGCCTGCGTAGACTTCAAGTGAATTTTTGGGCCTCTCCTCATGACTTGTTTCTAGAGCCATCGGTATGAAAAAAGTGAGGTGAACCATTCACTTGAGTGCTTCCAGAAAGAAAATTTCCATCTCAACATTGTCAGCCTCTCCTCTTTCTCACGTGGTAAGTAAGTTCCGTACCGAGGGCCAAAATGCTCCCTTTCTTTTCTTTTCTTTTTCTCTTCCCACAAAACCAGGTATTATTAGGTCTCTTGAAAAGCTGCGCAAACCAACTGTTCCTGCACAGATTATCCCTCTCACAGCTCAGGTGCTGTGCTCATTGGGTTACATTTCCCATGACTCGCGGTCAGATGTGGGCTGTCACTCGGCTTTATTCCGCCTTGCAGGGAAATATTTGTATTTGGCCTCTACAAACCCCATTTCCCCTGGGAATGACCCTGCATATACCATCTTCGTATTGGTGATGGGCAGTTGGATGCTGGCTTTTATGGGGCAACTGGGCATCTGGCAGAAAACCGGAAGTTGCTGTTGCCCTCTGACTTCATTCAGCTGATGGAGGACAAGGTTTGTGAATATAGGCGGAATTATCTCTGAGAGGTGAAGAGCAATAATTTGAGAAAGCACTTGTGGTGGGTTCCGGCACATGATGAGAATGGAAATTTGCACTATTCATAGAATTTTTCAGGCTCGGACTATAGCTCAGTGGCTACAGCAATATAGGCCTTGCCTAGCATGCCCAAGGGTCTGCATTTGGTCCCTGGAACTACTAAAAGAAGTCACAGTATTTTTCCCCCTTAGATATGAAAATGCAAATTCTGACTTGTATTCTTAAAAGTTTTTCGCTTTTCTTTTTTCACTTCCCTTTTATTCCTTTATCTTTTCCATTTTCTGTGTTTAAGCTTTTTTTTCGTTAGCAGTTGCTGGCAGTACCTAATGTTCTCATTCCTCATGTGGAGGTGGTACACGTATATAACACATCTAATTCTTTTTAATTGTCCTCTTTCCTTCCTCGGCACCCCTCCATCTCTTGATCCCCCTTCCATTAGAGAAAGATTTGTCTCTCTGCTTCCCATTACCTGAATGCTCTTTGTCTTCCAGGCATTGCTGGGGTGGACACTTGTACTGCCGTGGTAAGGTATGTTGGCAAAATCCTTTTGGAGACTCATTGCCGGTTTGCATACGGAGCCACAGAAATGGATGAGAGCTCAGCCATGATAGGGTGATAGGAGATGCACTCCGAATGCTCATAAACACAGAGGCAAAGTGTACATGGGCATGATAATTATAATTTGTCTATTGAATATGATAGTACTTTATAGGCATTGCCTCATTGAATCTGTATATGGGCTTTGTGTAGTAGAAATTAATTATTATATCTCCACTTCACAGATGAGAAAGGAGAGGCACGAGAAGTTTGGTTTATCTGAAGTCGTACTGCTAGAGTGAAATTTCAACCCTATCTCCACTATAGATCTTATATTCCTGACTTCTAATCTCTTGTAATTCCTCTTAATGTGTGGTTAACTTTATGTAAAAAAAAAAAAAAAGCCAACAGTAATCACCCATATTCCATACCGGCAGACACGTATATGACAAACTGTATTCTTACAGGAAGCACATGAAAGAATCAACAGGTCAGCTTAGACTGAGGCAAAACTGCCAGATTTAAGCAAGCTTGTCTGCAAGCAGCTAATAATATAACTGGTAGCTACCTGGAGCAAAACTTACATGTTCTAAAGTCTTGCCTCTGGATAAGAATTAAACACTATATGAATGATCTTTAGCTGGGAGAATCCCAGTGATATTTTGCCAATTCAGGGGTGATCCAAAGGAAGAAGTCTTACATGGAGGTCCAAGGTCTTTGCAATGAAATGACTTCATCGAGATTCACTTGAGAATTTTCTTTTGGATTCAGGCCTAGATCAGTGCTTCTTAACTTAGTTTGCAAGAGTTTCCCTGAAAATATTAATAGACGCTGTGGACTTTTCCTCTCTGCAGTAAAACATGTATATTAACAACATCTTGCCATATATCTATTTACTTTGATCCAAGGCTATTAGAAATCTTTTAGATCCCTTCCTGGTCTGGGGATTTAAGTTAATATGCCTTTCTATTTTGGTTTGCAGAATCTACTCTATAGCAAGGTTTGGAGCCTGCCTCTTTCTAATCATTTGAGAGTGGATGCAGCTTCTTCAGTCATCTATACCCAGATAACTAAGGCCTGTAAGTAACTATCATCAATCCTTTTGTTTCAGCATTTAAAGCAATATGGTACCATTTATTTCTGTTTTTTTTTGTTGTTGTTGTTTTGTTTTGTTTTTTTGAGACAGAGTCTCACTATGTAGTTGAGACTGACCTGGAACTCGCTATGTAGCCCAGGCTGGTCTCGAACTCACAGCGATCCTCCTGCCTCAGCCTCCCAAGTGCTGGGATTACAGGTGTGCGTTTACCACACCCGGCTAAACATGATACCATTTAATGTGGACACTTGTATTCAGATACATGGCTTCAAACTGCCTTTTGGGTTTTACATGTTAGTGTGAAAAAAACTCACGGCCACCCCTCAGCAAGAGTCTCAGGCTGTGCCTGCAGCATGGTTGACTGTGTGACAAAGAGAAAAGCTTAGAAATGTGAGTAGACAGTAGTAGGAACAGCTTTTCTTTCCATGCCTGCAGAAGTGTACTTTCGTGCCACACATGTGAACTGTGCTTAATCGGGTGGCTGTTTCGTTTTTAAACATATATTACAGTGGAAGATACCCTAGCATTAATCTCTCTCAAGAGACCATTCCCCTCTGTTTCACACACACTTAGCGCATCATTCTCGCCGCTCTCTGAAGCCACAGAAAGACACTCACAAAAGAGGAGCTCTGGAGCTGCTTCAGAAAGTGCGAAGATGTTGGGATAAGTGTGCCTGAAGCAAGGGGAATATTTCGAGGAGCACTAGCGGTAGTGTGTCTTTTGCGGTACCACATTTTTGAAAATTTGAACATTTATTGTGTTTCTGGATCCCACACTTAAGGCATAGGGGGAGATGGACACAAATAAATGGGTGAATGGTGCACTGCAGTGAGATTTGACGGGTGGCTGTGACGCACTGAGGTCCAGAAGTGCCTGGGTAGCCTTCCAGTGCGGTTGACTATGCAGCTAATTAGATTATGGCCCTGGCATAATTTCATCTCCCGAAATACTGTCATCATCCAGAAGAGGGAAATTGTTTTTACCATTTCTGCTTTCTAAAACTGAAAAATTCTCAGGTACAAATCCCCAAAGACTTCTCGGGCAGTGTCTGAGTCCTGTTCAGGGTTGTGTGCCAAGGAGACAGAAATATCCTATGTAGAGGTCACTGGGCCATTGAGGCCAGGAACTTCCCCTGGGCAGCCATCCCCGCCTATGTTACAGAAGACGGCAAAAATACAAGCCACCATGCAGCTGGCCAATTATGCTCTGCGCTATTGACGGGGAAATTCCTTCCTCACTTCTGCCGGTGAACAGTTATGCCCTGGAGCCCAGGACGGACATGCCTTGTAACTTTTTAACCTAGTTAGTGTAACTGCCAATATTATTCCTATTCATATAAATGTCTAATCCTTTCTTGAATCTTGCTAGACTATTTGCCTCAAAAACATCCCGCGGCTATGAATTCCACAGGCAGATGATACGCCGCTTTAAAAAGTATTTCCTTTTATTCATTTTAAGTTTGTTGCCTTTTAATGTCACAGAGGGTCCTCGCTCTTGCAGTAAGTGACAGGATAAAGACATTGCAAATCGAGCTGTAATTCTTCCAAGGCCTTTCTGCACTATTACCAATCCTGTTTTCAGTGTATATTTTCTATTTCGGTACTTATAATACTGATTAAGTAAGTTGGTTTTAGTAAGCAGTTTCTCACTAGTTTGAACACCTAGCAGATGCTGGAAACAAAGGTTTCCTTACTGTCTGGTGACATTTATTAGACGAACATTTACCAAGCACTTATTGGTGTAGAAAATTATTTTAATTTTGAGGGACAGCCTTCGACAAGGCTGAGTCCTTGTTTGGAAGGCCCTAATTTTCTTGAAAGGGAGATGAGCAGTAAAACAGTGAAAAAATGTTTGAACTATGTGGCTTCTGATGGTTTTCAGGGCCATTAGCCCTTTTTATCTGTAGGCTCCACACCTTGGGATTCAACTGGACTTTGCTTCTTGCTTAGATTATTCTCTCAACACAACAGTGGAATAATTATTTTTGTGTAATATACGTTGTAATAGGTTTTATAAATGACCTGGAGAGGATTTTAAATACTCAGGAGGGTGAGTAATCTGTCATTTAATCTAAGGAGCTTGAACGCGTTGAAAGAGAGCGATTCCTCCTGAATCAACTTCCTGTGGCTATCGAGGGGGGACCTACATTATGGAAAAATTAAGAAGGACAGGAAGAAAGTTCTGGGGCTCCTTTAGATCCCATGGGCTGGGATTGGCTCTCTGCAAAGGGGACAATTAAAATTGGACAGCAGTGTGAAATCTGCCTGCAGGCGAGCTCCAGTCTGGGTTTCAGAACAGTGTCCTGCAGAAATTCGGGCTTAGTCCTCTTCATTCGCTGAATGCATGAACGAGTGAGAGTTGAGAAGGGAAGGCTTAGGGCCCGAAATCACCCAGCAAGTGACTCAGTAGATCCAGGAGTAACATTTCTTGCGTGCCTGGTGTAACTCTAAAGATGGCTGGAGTAGAATAAAGCAGGGGATTGAGCTGGTGAGACTCTGCTTTCAGGACCTGAATATGTTTCCAACTAACCAGCAGTATGACCTTGGGCGAGTCTCCTAATTGCTTTCACCTAGCATATTCTGCTTCCTAGAAATGGGTGTACAGCTCCCTTTTCAGATGGGAGTTGGAGGGTTGGAGGGAATATTAAGTGGAAGCTCTTTTTAAACCGCTGACTGGTACAGAGATGTTGGCTATTTTCAGAAATCAATGGCTTTCAGCACTTGTTCCTCTAGTCTTTCTTTCTTTCCTTTCTCCCTTGTTTTCTCAGGTAGCGGTTTTATCTTTGCCTCTTCCCAAAGCCCACCTCCTTGGTGGTACTCAGCTTTGCGCCCCAGAGTGGTCCCCACATTCTTATTTGTTTTTTCAAGGACCCTAAAGACCCAATCGGATGCACTACTGCTTGCTGATACAGTGAAGTGGAGGTGGATTTCAGACAGTGATTGTTTGCTTTCATTTTGTTTACTCCCTTAATCTTCTGGGGTCAGGTGAACCAAACTTCTCTGTATCAAAGACCAAGTCCTTGCTTGAAGCGGAGAAGAATCTTCCCCCAGAAACCACAACTTTGGTTCAGTGACCCCATCACCTGCGCTGAACTTCCTTGGGGCTTCCGGCATGGCAGGCATGAACCATTTCCTCACGGTGCCTCTTGTTGTTCTTTTTAATTGCCCCTTCGTGTACTTTTTCTTTCCATTTCGGCAATTTGAAGTAAAGCCATGCACCGCTCTGCATAATAATGTATTATAAAGGCATTTCAAGGAATGAGTTGTTAGGATTATTTACATGCATGGTTCAAATTTACTGGCAACTTGCTCGGGCCTCATTTTTATGATGGGGCTGCCGGCCGGGCTCCTTCTGGATAAAAATCTGAAACAGGAGAAGTTGTCCTTTGCATGGCTCACCAGCGCTTTCTCTGCCGTGTTCCTGCCTTTTCAACACCTTCCTCCTCACCCGCCCCCAAATAACTCTGTGGGGCTCTCAGGCCTTTTGCACCTTCACGCGAAGACACTCTGTGGGTCCTTCCCAGGCCCGCCCCATCAAAGGTGAGGTGCGCAAAGGAATAAATCTCCGATGGTATAATTTTAGATGCTGTGGCAACTGGGAAGGGCAGCTATTTCTGGCTGTGGGGCTTTCTCCTTGACCTGACATGATACTGCTTTGCCTGTTGCTAGCTTGTCCTGCCAGCCCGGCGCGCCACACTCCTTTTAGCGACATGCTTGCCATCTCTGGGGAGACTTCTTTATTTCTCTGTGTGCAGTTCTGTGGTCATCTAACATCCTCTCTGTGCCAGGGCATAGATCTGGTGATGGGTGGCTTGCCACAGCTGACACGCCAACGTGGCGGCCTGGGACACCCCTGGGGGGCAGCACGTATGGACTGGACTCCCTCGCGCATAGGAGGCTGGAACTTGTCGGCCCAGTTTCCGCATAGCCCTCAGCCTCCCGCTTTATCAGCTGCTCAATCCCATCATAGGAGTCACTCCTCCTCTCTGAGCCAGGTCTCCCGCCCTCCGTCTTCCACCTATGCAGCCTCCCTGGCAACCGCAGGCCCCCTGAGTCCTTGTGCCCACCCTGCTTGCTATCTTCCCATGCAAGTTCCTGATGCGGCTGGACCCCCCGCCCCCCGACCGACTGCCGGGGCGGCTAGTCTGAGCTGGGGAAGGGAGTCTGGCGGAACAGCCACCGGAAGATGAAAAGCAGGTCAAGAATGGGGGAAGGGGCATGCTAAAGCCAAGATCGTCCTGAGGTCGGGTACCTCGTTCTTAGTTTTCCAACCTAAAAAATACACGGAAGATTCAAGGGTTGTCCAGGAAGGAGGGGTAATGACGGTAAAGAACAGGGGAATGGGATCAGCTGATAAAAAGCAATTGAGTTACTTTATGTCAAAAGAGAGACAGAGGTCTTCTATAGGCATGGACAGACTGACGCTCTCTGGATGGTAGCTCTCTTCTTTCCAGTTATCCTCGCTAAGAAAAAGGACAGAATGAGAAAGACAGAGAAAAGGAGGGAGCAAGGGAGGTAGGGAAGGAAAGAGGAAAGGAGGAAGGAGGAGAGAGAGAGAGAGAGAGAGAGAGAGATAAAGAGAGTCTGATTGAGAAATGAAGGGTAATATAAAAAGGCAAAAAAACCCCACCAAACAAACAAACAAAAAACAGAGACGCTGTTACCTTCCCTTATCTATGTATAAAATAAATTGAATAGACCTTTATTGAAAACCAGTGATGTCTGCTCCAGTTATCTTTCTGAATGACGAAGCACCCTAAAATTTGTTCACCCAAAAGCGCAGCAATCCTTCTATCCTGATCTACCATGGTTCTGAGTGCCAACTGGGCCAGCAGGGTGGCTGGCAAGTGGGCAGCCTTTCCCTAGGATGAGTGCTGGAGTTGCTGCTAAGGCGTCCTTCCTCACGTGTCTGATGCTGCTGTGGGCCATCTGTGTACCCTTGGCTGTTGCTGTCAGCTGGGACACCTACACAGTCCTTCTCCTCGTGGGAGCCTCCTCTCAGAATCTTACCTTGTGCTGCCTCCAAGGCGGCTTGGGATTCCAAAGATGACGGTCCCAAGAGAGCAAGGTACAGAGAGAATTGCCCTTTTTATCTACCCCTGTCACACACTCTGTCAGCCCATCACTATGATTACATCAGGTTCAAGGGGAGGGTGCAGAGATGACTTCTCTAGATTGAGGAGAGGTAAGGAACTTGTGGACATGTCCTAAAACTTCTACGTGTCCTATCATGATGTCTACTGACATCATGTTCCAACCTCCAGGAGTTTCCATCTAATTGGAGCTATGAAAGTTCACTAAGTATTCGGTGGAAAATAAGGAAATATGGACTTTTCAAGGGAGGGAGGTGATAGAAGAGTCGGCCCCAACTAGGGTATGAGACGGACATATGGATGTCTGTAAGTCATAGGCAGAGGGGCCGCTTGTAACAGAGACAAATATTCTCCAACTCCAGAGCAGTTCTTTCTAGCTTTGTTTAAACTCATGTATTCCTTCTCCACAACTTTTCCTTTTTTAGATGAGGTCCGGCGCATTCAAGGTGGTATGGCTGTAGACTATAACTTTTTTTTCAGTGCTGGAGATTAAACCCACAGTCTCGGGCATGTTAAGCAAGGAGTCTGCCATTGAGCCACTCTGCCAGCCTCTGTTCTCCATACCTTATTTGCCCTTTACCTGTCTTCTTCTTCTTCCCTTGATTCCACCAACTGCTCTTTCTTTCAACTCCATTGTTCTACTGTGTTCCTAAAACTCTTCCCTATTCATTAACATCCTGTGGTCATGACTTTACCCTTTTATTTTTTCTTGGAAAAGACTAAACTTCCCTTCCCTCCCCTTCCCTATTGATTTGCTACTCCACTATCATTTTTCAGACCAATGAACTTCTTTTTACCCTTTCTTATCTCATTTCTTGTTGATTATTTGAAATATGTAACTTGACTTTGGTTTCTTCCTTTTTGGCCACTGTCTCCTGCTTTCTAACGTCCTGTCTCATGCTCTGTGTGACTCATGCCTTTCTCTTCTGCTCTGGTCTTTCTTATCCCAGGAGCCGGTTTCACAGAACAATCACAGGACATGGGGCCCCAGTACACACTATGACAGCACCTCCATCTGACACGGCTTTGACATAGCCCTGCAGAGGAAGCCCAGCTCCAATTCGATCCAGGGACTTTCAGGTGAGGTTTGCTGTTCAGTCGCTCGCCTTTCTTTAGTAAGCATTTCCTCCATTCCATCCTCACTAAAAATACTTCTCATCTGAGCCTTTAGTCTCCAAATACCACCCACTGTGGAATTCACTCTTTGATCCTCATGTGGGCTGGGTTTCTTTTCTCCTCTTAGTACAAAAGTGATATATATCCACAATAGAGAATTTAGAACACAAAGAGAAGAAAAAATATAAAACAAACAGTATAGATAGAAACATTCTTAATACCTTGATGTGGGCCTTTCTTATCTTTTTTCCTCTCTATATTTATGGTTTTTATAGATAAAAATAGTACCACCATTTAGAAGGTTAGTACTTCCCCTCAGGCCCTTTGCTGGTTTATAGAACCAGTTCTACAGAGCCTGACACCAGACCTCAGGTGATTGGAATGAGTAGACATCTGCTGGAAAGACATTAGCCACTGGCCCCCGTTATGCCAGTAACTCTTGCTCTTTCCTTTAAGTTGGAGAGACCAGACCTATATCACATGGAGGTGGGATTAGTATTTGTACCTAGAAACTTAAAGCTTTACTGGGAAAGGTGGTTTTCAAGAAGAGACAGAATACAAGATTAGAAAGATGGTGGAGTTGTGGAGGACAGAGACCTACATCCTCCTCCTAATGCTGGCCTGCAGGGATTTTTGTGGCATGGCTTCTTTTTTTTTTTGGAACCTGGGATCGAACTCAGGACCTTGAGCTTGCAAGTCAGGCAGCAGAACCACTGAGCTAAATCCCGGGCCCAACCTTCTGTCCATCTTTAATGGAGCAGAGTCTATAGAATTCTGATATTTCCACCTAGCAACAACTGCATAAAGTGACATTTTTGCATAAACTAATTTTTTACTGAACAATACAGTACACATTTCTGTTTATTGTGTATTCGCCAAGATTATAATGTTGATGTCCTTCCCATGACTACTGTGGATATTTCAGTATTTCTTTTTTTTTTTTTAATTTCAGTATTTCTGACAGAAGTACAATTAATGGATAAGGCTTGAGCGGAGTTCAAATACTCTCCCTGATGCTCATTTGTTGTGAGATTTGGGCAAATTGTTTAAAAACCCTATGTTTCCATCTTTTCATCTGTAACATGTGGATAATAAAAAGCTAAAATTATGTAACAAATCTTGAAATCCTGGCACGTTGTCTGTCACATACAAGAAGGGCTCAGTAGATTTCCCCTGTCATTATTAATAACTATAAACCACCTTTTTTTGTTGTTTTTTTGGTACTGGTGATCGAACTTGGGTCCTTGTGCTTGCGAAGCAGCTTCTGGAACCACTGAGTTAAATCCCCAGCCCCTAAACCAGCTTTTTATATTGCTTAAGTGAGAGAACCCACATTTTCAACAGAATAAACAGAACTGCAATGATCATTCTTACAGTTAAATATTGATGCATGATTTTTCCTTGAGTTAAGTGCCCAGAAGTTTCAACATTGGATCAATGACTGCGAACACTGACAAAGTGTTTAAAGTATGCATTGGTCACTGCTGCTCCTGATTTCCACAGTTCTCCTCCCAAGCCTTTTCTGTCTTCTTCTGGACTGTGGATTTAGAGACAATATTTCCTTCTGTGTCGGGACATCTGACATTTTTCCATGGAGCTGTTTCAGGTACAGTTAACTAACCCGCTTAGCTATTCATTTACATGCCAGGTGTAGATCACACTTATGTATAGACAAGGTTTATGGACTAGGTTTCTATTTTGAGAGCTGACCCCAGTGTTGCTAACCATCGTGTGGGCTTTCTAGCCTAGGCAGAAAGAGTTCCAGATGGTTCAAAGGAAGGCAGATATCGACCAAGGCTTACAATATTTATAAAATCTTTTCTCTCTAAGAATAGGGACATTTGTTTCATGAACATCTTTATTGTTTGACCTCCTTTCTGCAGACCCTTCCCTGGCTTTAAAGCTTAGGAAAATATCAATATGGAATTCAGTGAGATGGTTTTCAGAGCCACTCACTGTGCTGGGTATTTTGGGAAGAAAAAGAGAGCTCAACATGGTCTTTGTTCTCAAGAAGCTTAGCATGATGGGAAAGTAGGTATGCACATAATTAGAGAGCAAAGGTAAGTTTGCTAGAATGGCGGGGTGCAGTGTAAGAAATTTCAGAATTAAATAGTTCAAGAGCTGAGGTCTGCATAGTTATCCATTTGGTCCTTGAGGTTTGTTTTGTTCAATCCCAAGTTATGGTGTTTAGGTTTTCTTTTCTTTTTTTAAAATTGTCTACAAATGGTTGGCTGGACATTTTGCAAAGCTTCAGTTCTGTCTTTATCTTGGAAAAATGAAAGAATTTAATATACCAAGCCCTTATTTTACCGTGATGATGTTGAAGAGAGGCTGACCTTTCAGCTAAGGAAGGAACTTTTCTTTTTTGCCACAGTCCCTACCACCTATACCCTTTTACCCTGCACCTATTCACTTATTTATGCATGTGTGCCATGTGAGTTTATGTCTTGGCTGGAGAAGGCTCAGAAAGATCTGCTCCAGAGGAGACCTTCATGTGTGCATGGGGATGAGTGGACACAGAATCACTTAGGGCAGGTGGTGGAACAGCACATGTGAAGGTGTAGGGCTTGAGCTCTAGTTGGACGATGACAGGCAGACAAGGATGAAAATCTGTCTGCTATTTGAAGGGAGGGATGTAGCAAAAGAACTGATGTGTACAAGGGCCAGCACATAAACAGTTTGGCATGCTAAAATAATGACTTTAGATTTTGTCCTAGACGAACTAGATTGGATCATTGCTAGGATAGCAGAGAAGAGAATTTCTAACCAGGCCCTGATTCTATGCCAGCAACAGTGAGCATACTGAGTGCAGAACTGTACTACATCCTAACTCCTAGCCCTGAGTTGCGTGGTGGTACACAGGAGAACATTCAGGTAGAGACAGATGTGTTACATGACTTCCATAAAGTCACAACCAGTATGTGGCAAAGCTAGGAGTGGATCTTGAGGGGTGTAAGTAGGAAGGTGGTCACTTCATCCTGAGGGTGCTCTGCTTTCCCGAGGGACCGGTGCTTCAGAACAGCTGCCCTGGCAGCAAAGTTAGGGTCTCACTGGAGTGAAGATTGGGAGAAAGAGAGAGAGAGAGAGAGAGAGAGAGAGAGAGAGAGAGAGAGAGAGAGAGAGAGAGAGGAGCTTTGGGAGCTGGGGTGCTGTGGCGGCCATGCAGGGGCAGAGGAGGGGCAGCGATGGGGAAGTTGGGATGGTCACATTCTCAGAGCCTGTCCACTGTGGGATTTTCTCCTCTTCCTTTGAATTCTCAGAGCCCTTCGTGCCTCTTTCCCAGGGCTTGCTTTTGCCATGTCCCCAAGCAGATGCGTGCATCTTATCACATCTAGTATATTTTGATTCCTTAAGGGCAGGAGGAGTTATGCTTTATTTGCCTTAATATATATTCTTTTTGCATTGCTGAGCACAGTGTTTTGGTAAATGAACAAATTCCAAAATTATCTTCCTCAGATCATTTCTCTTTATGTATGCATTTTAGAAGTTAGTGGCAAGTTAAATACTTTTCCTTTCAAAATATGAAAATAATCTCCTGACACAATCTACTTGAAACTTTTAAAATAGGAGGAAAAGAACTATGGGGAAGTTGCTTAAAAGCAGCAAACCCTTTAAGAGTCAATGTCATGTTTATTGCTATAAAATATTTTTCTCTCTCTGTTAGACATCTGGTCCCCATTACGTACAGTACTGGGTACTTGGGTTCATCAGGCATTTTGCATACCAAGCAGTGTGCACACAAAAACCCCACTGACATCCGCCAGAATACGTTTGCACCATGTAATTCTTACTTTACACTCACAGGCAACCCTTCTATCAGCAACGCAATGCTCGCTGATACATTTGTGAAGGTGTTTTGTTGTATTTACCATAAGGACCTCATTGCCTACATCTGAGAAATGAACTTCGAAATCCTGAAGTCTTTGCTTTTTCTCATTGCCTGGCCTAACTTTCTATAATCTAGCACTGAAATCAATGAAACGTCTAAATCTGAAGTCTATATTTCCTAGTAACATTGACCCAGAAATGAGAAACACAGTATGCAATGTTTGCTAATGAGTCATGTATTTCATTATAATTACTTCCACATTCAGGATAGCCTCCTTAAACTGTCTAATCTCAACATATTCTGCAACAATCCCATGTGTCGTAAATGATTTTGGTTTATTTCTTAGGTTACTGTTAAGGGTTTATTTTCTGGTTCATTTCATTTTCTTAAAGAAAACCACACCCTCGTGTGAGTGTGAACACACACAAACACACACTCAGATGTGCTCACATGCACACTGGTGGCTTTTGTCTCTCAATCTGTAGTTTTTTGAAAGAAAGTAATTATGAAACAAAAAAGGGGCCCTTATCATTTGGTGTGGAAATAAAAATAAACACATTTATGAAGCAAGTTGAAATATGTTCTATTTTTGAGTTGGAATTCAGGTATCTCAGAATTAAAGCCAGAATAGAGCAGTGCCTCAGCTAGCAGCAATCTGTCCCTTTCTGGACATCAGAATCTATAATGGAATAGACAGCTACAACCAGGCTTCAGTACAGTAATAATGGAAAACTAAATACGACTTTTAAAAACTGCTCCCATTATAAAGTGATCTATTAGCATTATACGACTTCAGCACTTAAAGTGACTGATTCTAATTGCAAGATTTAGCCCACAGCAAGCATGAGAGAGCTGCAAGATCTTAAAGGTATTTTATCTCCTTTGGGATCCTTTTAAGAGGGGTTTCTTTGGAATCAAGTCATATTCTTGCTGCACAAAAGCTTGTATGGATGGAGACTCTCAGTTCAGGCAGAACCAGAGGTAGTTACAGTCCCTCCCTCTGTGATTCCGTGCATCCGTAAGCCAAGCAGGGTAAGTGTGTTTTTTTTTTTTTTTTCCCACAGTCCCACTTTCTTTTACTGAGTGATGCTTTGTCTTTGCAGCTTTTCTGAAGCAGAGCAGCTGGATTCCCTACCTTACCGAGCTTTTCTAGCCAGCAGAGAGGTGCTCTTCCTGCTCCTGGATATGGAAATCCCTCCTGGACAACAAGCCGGTGGGTCTCTGAGACACGGCTGCCGTGTCATTCCTTGAACTGAACTTAGCTGACACAAGTGATCACAAAACCAGGACTTCTGAGCACATTCCCTTCTTTAGTGTACCCCAGAAAGCCTGCATCTAATAGAAAAGGAAGGAAGGAAGCGGTTGAATGCCATTCATCTTCAAATTTGACTTTATGTTTATGGTATTTACAGGCTTTTAAATAATTTCATCCTATTGATCACAGGAAGCTTATTAACTGAATAGTACTGGAAACAGTACCACTTCATGGTAAGGAAGGCCTTGTTGAGAGATGTAGCCAAATTTTACTTTGATCTACATTCCTACTTTTTGTTACTGTTGCTGCTTTGTTTTGCAGTGCTGGGGATTGAACCCAGGGTCTCATGCATGCTAGGTAAGAATTTCTACCACTGGATGACAAAAAGCCCCAGCCTTTTTCATTTTTTATTTTGAGACAGGATCCCATTAAGTTGGCCAGGCTGGCCTCTAACTTGCAATCCTCCTGCATCAGCTGCCCCAGTAGCTGGGATTACCAGAGTGTACCATCTCTCCTAGCTGCATGTGGACTATTTGGTAGTGGTTTTTGGATCTTCACGGCAGTAGGACAGTTCCTTGCTAGGCTTCAGAGTTTCAATGTGATGAGCTGCACTGATTTCCAAGTAACTAACAGTGGGCTGTTAAACATAGAGTTCAAAAATGCCAGTTACAGTGTTGGAGTGTGAACATCATCTTACTTATTCATTTATTTCTTTTTGGCATATTGGGGTAGAATTCCAGATCTTAATGCTAGGTAAATGTTCTACCACTAACCTGCAGTCCCAGCTCATCAACCTTTTATTTTAAACATCTTTGTCCCAAATTAGCATCATTTTCAAAGGATAACACTAGGGAGAAAGAAATTTAAAGGCCTTCTGACTTCTCACGATTTTTTTCTAACAGATCTCTGCAACTTATAATTGCTTTCTGCCTTTCAAAGCCTTGAATCTTGCAGAAGGAAGCAGAAATGTTTGTTATTGGCCTGAATTAGGAGAAAAAGAAAAGAGAAGATTATAGCCATTGGCACTTTGTTTATGAAAACATCATTTTGAGAATATGCTTGAATCATGCAAAAGTAGCGTTTCTCTCTCCTCTCCCAGCATATTTTAAATGCCAGCTCAGCCAGACAAAAGGAGCAGTGCTCAGATAGGACGCTACCTTTTCTACACACAGTGGAGTACATGATACCATCATTTAACCATTACCGTTTTCTTAGATGTTCTGAAAGTACATATGTAAAGTATACATAAAATAAAAATGTGTTTATTTTAACAAATTACAGGGCCTGGGATTTAGCTCAGCAGTGCTGCCGCCTGCCTCGAAAGCACAAGGTCCCAAGTTTGAACCCCCGTACCAAAAAAAATAAAAAATAAAAAAATTTCGTTACAGCACTTTATCTTAAAGTAATTCAAGTCTTGCAAGAGGCCGTACAAATTAATTGGAGAGCTCTTTTGTACTCTTCACTCAATTTCCCCCAAAGATAGGCTGGTGTCTCGTGTGACAGTTGTCAAGATTAGGGAATTGGTTGAGGTCCTCGGTTTTTACACGTACACACTGCTGGGTGTGTGTTACCACTTGGGGAAGCGTGAGGCACCAGTTTTAAGGCAGGCAGCTCACCAGTGAATATTGGCGTCAGACAAGCTGCTCAGACGGTGTGGTTTTGTGCACCTTGTGGTTGACTGATGAAGAGGTGGTGTGGGCTGCGTTCATGAAGATCCTACTCAATTGATTCATCTGTGTATTAGAGAAAGAATCAATGAATCAACACTATATCACGTGCCACCTTTGACAAACTGGAGATGCATAGATCGAAACAGGCACTCTGCTCTCCAAGAACCCATGGGAGGCAATAGAAAAAAAATCCACAGCTACAACACCCAGTGCTGTGTACCATCGCCCACACAAAGCCATGCAACTCCGAAAGCACCTACAGGTACCCCTGTTACCTAGGCATTAGGGAGAAAGCAGGGACAAAGATGCAGGCTTTTTGTGTCCTGTGGACTTTACTGCCAAGTGGAGGAGACAAAACTGAACAAGCAAAGACAACCATGTGCTCCATCAGAGGGCTGTGATCCTGAGTGGTGGGTTCTAACCAGATCAAGGGATACAGGCAGGTGACTCAGAGCAGGTGCCATGGCTAACTTAGCATGTTAGGAGGTTGGGAATGAGTACTTCTGAGCTGTCTAGGCCACGCTTCAACTCCGCACGACAAGGCTCTGTCTTCTGGTTTCTGCGTTTGAGCCCCTGGCTCACTGTCGCGGGAGCTGCCATTATTCCTTAGACTGTGTCAGTGGCTCTTGGATAAAGCTGCTGTCAGACCTTGTCCACTCTATGCTGGCAGGCCTGGGACCACAGAGCGCCTGGGTAGGAGAGGGGTCTGTTTTCCAGCAGTATAGGGAATGTGGTTCCCTAGAAGCTAGTTGGGAATGGGCTTTGGAAACACTGTGATGTGTTCCTGTCCTGACAAAGTGAGGTTATTATCTATTGATTTATTTATTTTTGCACCGGGGATCGAACTCAGGACCTCGTGTTTGCCAGGCAGGTGCTATACCACTGAGCTACATCTGGCCCAGGGTTCCTTATTTAAAATGGGGCATCATCACCCTCTGTGTTGCTGTAGATCCGATCACAGGCCTTTGCTCCTTAGGACTTTTGGCTGTTTTCCATTGGATTTAAAGCAGAATCGCGGATTTCTGTCCAAGGGTGAGGTCTGCAAAGGCCCACACATGGTGGCCCTGAACACTTACATCCTCTTTCCTCAGCATCATCAATTCCTGTGCTACTGTCAGGTCCTGTTGATGCAGTCATGCTGCCTGGTCAGTGCTGTTTCTTACTCCCGGGCCTTTGCACATGCGGTTTCTAGAAATGCTTTTCCCCTTCTCCATCCCTTCACCTATCGCCTCAGTCTTCAGCCTTCTCTTACAAGTGGTTTGACTTTGAAGCATTTGTTTGCATCATCTGCCCTATGAATCCCAGTTTGTGCACATATTGCAGGGTTCTCTTTCGCCTTCACAGGTGTGATTATAAGGTATTCATCGCATCTGTGAAACTGTAAGTTCCATGAGGAGCAGGACGATGTCTATTTTCTGAGTAGGGGCTCACTGAATGAATTATTGGCTGAATTGTAGAATGAGTGAAAAGCTTAATGATACAACCTTATTTTTTTCTTGTGAGTGTAAGTAATGGTATACCTGAGATTCAGAAGTACTTACATGCTCATTTAGAAGTACTTATATACTTCAAAGATCTTTTACTTTGGAGTCATTTCTGGGGCTTTTTTTCTTTTACTCAGGTTAGGAATTTGCTCACGAGAGATCATGGTTGACAAGGTTATGTCTTTGCTGTTGTCTACTTCTGGGAGTTTTGCTTTGGATATCTCATTCGGGATAATCCATAGGCTGCTCCAACGAAGGACATCTGTCAGGTGCCCACTCCTGGGGGAGTGGAGGTCATTCTTTGACAACAGCAGCCCAGAACTGCTTTGCCAAGAGTTCTGAGCAGAGCTCTGTCATGCACCAGGGCTTGAGCACAAATGTACCTGGGTGGGCAGGACCACTGCATCCCTGAAAAAGAATCTTCCAGATTCTGGATCCAAATCCTGCCCTCACTGGCCCCAAAAAAGAAGTCATTACTTGGATAAAAGAGGCTATTTGGGGGGCAAATCAAAGAGGTATTTGAGTCAGGGTAAGTGGACTATCTCTGAAGAGAAATAATCTTTGGGCTGAATCTGCATTAGTGGTGAGTTACTTAGATGGGGACATAAGACATGGGTTATGGAGGGGGCTGAGAAAATGGCATGTGCAAAGACCTCCAGAGATGTCTGGTGAGAACACTCAACCAAATCTCTGGATATACAGTTCCTGTCTCTTGGAACATTCAACTCATGGGCTATGAAAAGAGTGGTTATGACCTTGACCCTCAAATATGAATTATTCTGGCAATTGCTTCAAGTTTGTGGCTGAGATGTGCTCAGTCTGTGTTTGTAATCTAACATAAATTACATTGAATCCAGGTAGGTAGGTAGCAATGCTATGTAAATTCCGTAGCTTTTAAGGTTTTTATCTGTGCATGTGTGTGTGTGTGTGTGTGTGTGTTTGTGTGTGTGTGTGTTTAAACTCATTTGTTAAGCTTGCCTAGGTGAAAATGAAAATTTTAAGGCTGCTTTGGGTTCTGAGCTGTGGGACTCTGGAGAGTCACTGCTGGTCATAAGCGTGTAGAGGAGAGGCAGCACAGCATGCAGAGGGAGCTCAGAGTTTGGAGTTAAAGAAAGAGTGGGGGAAAAGTCTCAACTTTGCAGTTATTAATGTGTGACATCAGGAATTTCATGTACGTTCTCTGAGTCTCACATTTCTCCCACTAACCTTGAGATAATGCTAAAATTGTTTAGTTCATTGATCATATGGGATTAATTATATAAAGTAGTTTGTGTCAAAGAACTTGCATTCGAAAGATGAGGCATTAATCTTATAGAGGAAATATACTCATTTCACTTTTAATTGACATTTAATAAGTGTACACTGCTTTAGAGCACAAAGCAAGGTTTTGAAACATATATACATTATGCAATGATCAAGTCAGAGTGATTCATTTTTCTGTTTTCTCAAATATTTATCATTGCTGTGTGGTGAGAGCACTGAAAAATCTTCCTTTTAGGTACTTTGAAATATGCAAATTTTTGTTATAAGTAGTCAACCTACTATGCAATAGAACAACAGAACGTGTTCCTCCTCTGTGACCTCACAGTTTTAGCCATGAAAACTCTTCCTACTTCCTTATGCCCTCAGTGGCCTCTGTTAACCACTATTCTACTCTCCATCCCTGTGAGATCAACAGAGATAGACACCACATAGAATAAATATACCCTGAAAAAAAATCTGACAGGTTATATAAGTGATTGGAGGAGTCCTCAAACTCAGTATCATTTGAAAGTTTACAATAGTGTATTTCGAATATAATATG